AGGTCCTCCGTGGACACCTCGATGCGGATGGGCGCCCAGCCCTCGCTGCTCGTTCCTCCTCCTGCCGCCGCGGCCGCTGCGACGGTGTACGCCTGCGCCGTGCCCTGCCCCCTCCGCGGCACCTCACGCACCACCGCAGCCTCCGGCCGGCCCCTCTTCAGCACCGTGCCGTCGAACACACGGCGGCCCGCAGCGGCGCGGCACCCGCCGGCGCAGTGCAGCACGAGCAGCAGCAGCAGCAGTGGGAGAAACGGCGCGGCACAGAGTCGGCGGTGCATGGCGTGAGAAAAGCGTGTGTGTGCCTGAGTTTGGCGAAGGACGACTGCAATGGTGGCAGCGCAGCGCTTGTCCGCGGGAGGGGAATGAGAAGAGGAGGAGGAGGGAAGGGCGGCTGCAGGCACGAAGAGGAGGACGAGGCAAAGCCACACGTCCCCGCCGCGCCGCGGCACGACGGATTCTTGCGCCTCCGCCACCGGGCATTTACTCCCGTCCGCCCCACGCACGCCGCTGAGCAGGCAGAATTACTGGAAAAAAAAAAGTCGATTGAAGCCAAATGAAATTGCCCTCCTCCTTTGCAGAGTGCATCGCACACACACGGGCTACAAAACGTGTGCGGGCACCCAAAACACACAAACACAAGCAGAGAAATAAAAAACAAACCCCGTAAAGTGAAGCCGAAGCGTGGGGGCGCGTCCACCGAGCAGTGGGGACGCGCAGCAACACGTGGGACGACCAGCACACACACACCATCTCTTTCTCTGTTCCCGCACAGCCCAATCCAGGAAGAGAGAAAGAAATAAAGCAAGAGAGGCCGCCCACTGAAAGCAATGAAAACAAACAAACAATAAAAGAAAAGGATAAAAACAGTTACGGTGCTGTACCCATGCAGCCAAGCAGGACGGCAGCGGCTCGTCGGGTGCAAAAAGAAAAAGAAAACCGACGGGCCTGCATGAGTGGAGTTGTGTGTATATACGAGCACATTATGTGTGTGTGCCTCGTGGGGTGCGGTGAGAGCGAGAGAGTCCGTGCAGGGGGACACAGAAATAGAGAGAGAAACGGAAAAGGGCGAGTTGTGCGTGCGCTCGGCAGTATCCCTCTCCCCCTCACGCGGCCAGCACCGCAGCGGCAGCCGCACACGCAAGCAGAAGAAGCAGCGCAACGGGGGAGGCGGAGTGCGCGGCCACGGTGCTGCTGCCGTCGCTGTCGCCGGGCACCGCCTTCGCTGCACTCATCACGTTGGTGGTGGTCGCCGCTTGAGCAGCCACCCCCGCTGCCGGCTGAGCGGCTTGTTCTTTGCTGCCACCACTCTTTTCCGTTTGGCTTTGGAAAGTGGGCAGCTCCTTTTGTTGTGCATCACCAGTCTCGGTTGTCGCCACGGAACTCGCCGGCTGCGGCTGCGCCGCGGAGCCGCTGCCGCTGTTACTCCCGGAGTTGTTACTTCCCCCGCCACCGGCAGTGTCTTGTGCCGCTTCTGAAGTTTCCCCAGCGACTGCCGTGGAGGCGCGAGTATTGTCGCGCTGGACCGCGTTTTGTTGCACCGCGCTCTCAGGCGGTGAAGCCTCCGCGGCGGCTTTCCCCACCGTGCCCTCTTGAGTCGGCCCGCCGACGACGGCATCTTCGCCCTCAGCAGCGGGAGAAGAGTGCGCAGGTGATTGCTTTGAACTTTCAGTCGGCTGATTCGCTCGGGCACCTTCGGCAAGCGCAGTTGCTTCTCCTTCCTTTTGCTCTTTTGACGCATCTTCGGTGGTGCTCTGCGCCCGCCCAACTCCCTTTCCGGTTTGAGGTGAGGACAGCACTTGAGGAGGGGGTGGAGGTGGCGCTGCCTGGGGGCTCACCACACCCGTCCCACGTGAGTTCCCCATCGGACACATCGGCAACCGGCACTTCCGAC